TGATTAATATCAAATTTGACATCCCAACACCAGACCACGTCAACAGATGTGAGACGAAAACACTTCAATGACGTTCGCAGCCCTACGTACACTTAGAAACACAGTTTATGCACAAGCACTCGTCTTAACACGAAGCTCAAGAAAACGTGGACTTTCTGAGGGGGATCCAATAAATATTTTTTTTCTCCACACCCGTCGGCTAGAGGCGGAGCCCGGGGCTATGTATGGATTGCCAGAACCCTCCTATAAGAAAATATTATCATGATATACGTGTGCGAGCTTAGCATGCTTAGTTCTTTGAATTTTTCTGCACCGTGGCCCATCACTGGGGGCTGGCCCATCACTGGGTATTTCACCCTATTGTGTGCCAGGGTATGAGGCACACTCCATCTTCGTCGTCTGCATCATTCAGTTGTCGCTTGCGACGGACTATCTGCGACAGTGCTGCATTTGAAGGGAGAGCAGAAGTGGCGATGATGTTCGCTGTTGCCTGCTACACGATGTTGCGAGTTGAACCATAGAGTGTAACTAGAGGCGACACTCCAAGGGGTAGAGGAGGGTCGAAATATTACAGAGACATATGGTGGCATGTTTTCAACAACACTTCCTTGAGGCTTGCTTCGGGGCAGCGGAATCAGAAATCGATTCATTCGGGGATTCGACCCAAAGGGATCCATCAACGTAACACGCGTGTCTCGTTGAGTCCTCTGCTTGTCCATGGAGGAGCTGATGTGCAGCCGCTAGGTGGAGGATCGACAGCGACATCTATATTGCGACCCTGTCAATGAATAGGATTCGAGCGGAGTGTCGCCTCTAGTTATACTCTCTACTCTATGGTTGAACTTTCAGAAGCAAGAGCCCGACGGTGAGCATCAGACATCACCAAAGCCTTAGTGACGCGACATGGAAAAGGTGATGGGATGGTTGTCATAGGTGACAACAGTGTCACTTTTGCGAAATCTCGAGTTGCAGGCTCTGTTTTCATATTGCCAGTAGGCCCTGTTTCTTGTCGAGCAAGTAGATGTAAGCAAGGACAACTTTACGATGACCGCCATTGAGACATGACCAAGGGAGTGGGAGACAGGTGCCAGAGGCCAGATAGTCTTGGAGCTCGGGATCTGAGCGGGCGACCGCGCTTTTCTATTGTATTTACTAAAAAAAATTGTTTCTCGTAAAGTAATACAGGTACAAATGAATGGCTTTCACCTATGCATCAACACAATCTAAAGTTTTATTATTATTCACGATTGTTCCTCAGTAAACTTCAACATGGGCATCGTTAGACACACGTATAGGTTTCCCAGGTCAAATGTGGACAAAAGAAAGTCAAATGCGACAGGGAAAGTCAAATGTGTTACTGAGCTGCCTGGGAGTATCAAAAACGGCAGAAGGAAGGTCAAATGCGTCGCTGTGGTGGTTGTCGGATTTTAGGGAAAAGTATGTTCGACTCAAGGAAAGCCAGATGCGACAGATACACAAGATATACCATACCCGTGTTAGGGAGAATTGCCTTCTCGTTGCATTTTCACAACGTGCGGCTTCAAGTACATTTGGATATTGCAAATAACATTATTTGGAAACTATCGATACATCAGGGTATCGATACATACGCCACCACCTTGGTGTTTCACTGCAGTGAAGGTAACCAGGAAACTGCCGTGATAAATGACTATTCATCTTTAAAAAAAACTTGATTTTATTGGAATTTGCATTGCCAATTGATCAGTTTGACCCCACGATACCAGTTACACAAAGGGAAAAAGTGAATACCATTTGATTACATAGGATTCTATATGATTTTTTTTCGTACAGGATTACATAAGGCATTTTTCTCCAACTGCTGAATGTTTCATTTTAGATATGCAGTGAACTTGACTTATTAGAATACTGCTGAATGGAATACCATTGTGTTGTCCAGATTACTTAACCGCAAGATGCATTATGAAGCAAATCGCACGAATGAATATGGGTACGGGAGTAACACGCTTAAAAGAATAAAATTGTCCAAATATGAAGTGAAATTTTTATATAGCTTTGAAAACATGCTACCTGCTTTCGTTTTACCGAGAAAACGCCGAAAAGAGTACTGCATGAAAGTTTCTGATGATGGAGTAAAGGTAACTGGTCTCCGGACTATTCCAATGAGCGGAGTAGGTTGTATATTCAGAGAAGCGTTGCATTTCGATGTTCCACAGAAAAGTCGTATTAGAATGTTGCCGCCGCGTTGTCGCAATGTCAACGTTTATTAATATGCATAGTAGTTGTAGCGAAATTGGAATACGTTTCTCAGTTTCACTCCCAGTGCTCAAAAGGGAAAACATGCCTTGAAGGTTGTATGTTATTCATCAAATTGCAACATAGAGTAACGTTTGGAAACATTCATGAAACGTTCCCTCAATGTATACGGTGCAACCTGAGGTAGTAACGGGATCTTGCCTCACTCCTTGCGAGATAGCGGAAGTACTCATGTTCTGTGATTGTAGGAAATTTACGCTATATTTCGTGTTGCATCATTTTAATACTCGTTGTCCGACTACCTGCAAACGGTCTGCTGGTAAAAGCTTGGAGCATCCAAGGCTTGCATGTCTAATAAAAATGAAATGTTTACGAGAAAATTATGAGAAATGAGTTTTCCTGTGAACGTCAGGGAAGTGTCTTGCAAGATTCATCACGGAAAGTTGCATGCGTTTCTTCCCCACATGGATTTAAGGTTTTCGATGCAGCAAACCACCTTGGAAGCATTCATGTGACCTGCAAATGCAGCTTTTTCAGACAGAAAAGCCATCAAACGAAATCCCGTCAAGAAAAACTTGCTACGGAACAAATTATGGACAACAGAAATGGCATTTTCTGCAGGAAATTGAGTGCATCATTACACGAAGCAAGAGGTGAGACATCGAAATGAACAAATCTTGGTAATGGATCATGAGTTTTTTTATTCCTCCGTTCCAAGTGTCTAACACATATAATCGATCGGAGAACAAAGGGCCGCTTCATTTAGGTACTGGAAGTTTCTTCGGGGGCGTGCAAAAGTCACCAGGGAAGTCACACGATCCGTTATTTGGATTGAACCAAGTACCTTCGGAGCATTCCTAAAAAAGCGAACACATGAGGTGAATTCGCCGAAAGGCAATCGACGGAAAGGTCAGCTTCATCACCATTTGCTCGAACTCACTTGGTGAAAGGCATTTCCTCCGACGCATTGGTAGTAGCTTTCGCACGATTCAGGGTCAGGGAAAAGTCCATCAGGCTGAGGACATTGGAATTCTCCGCTACCTGTTGTTCCAATCGTGGTGGTGGTGGGGGTAGTTGTAGTCGTGGTTTCGCTCGCTAAAGGAATAAAAACGTCAAGTTACGTTGAAGAAAAGAACATCAATAAAACGCATAAGTCTTCATCGAAGTCGAATAAAGGAAAGTTATTTGTTTGCTGATAGAGGATGAACATTTCAGAGAAGCTACTGACACTGTATCTCCTGAGAATGAAATAAAGAATAACCCCTCCCAGTTTCATGTCTGAGTATTGAGCCTGAATATATTGCAGGCTTTCCTCACTTGTCAGGATCTTGAAGAACCTGCTTTTTTCGTTATGAAGTGTTATGAACGCCAGGTTTACGCAATTTTTTTTTCCTGCGATGTATCCATGCACTGCAAATTTCATAAATTCCGCCACAACGGCTGCTTTCAGCTCTATATCATTGCAGAATCGACGTCCTTTCAGGTCTCTGTTCAGTTTGGGAAAGAGCGGGATATGTTAAGGTTTTAGAACCAATTCCAGCTATTGCACCCTACATTACACTAGCGATGTGCTTGCCTTCATGCAAGAATTGCATCTGGATCAGTGTTTGGCCTTGTTTTTTGCTATTCTCATATGCATACGCCGCGCTATACTTGTGGCTCAGGCTTCCAAAGATTTTGACAGCAAAATACCTCGATAGTGAATCAACAACGGACCCATCACCTCGCTTGCATCTTTCGCGACGCGTAATTTCTTCAAGAGTGACCTAACTCTGCCGTTAAGATTCGGGATCGCAATAATCACCGATAGGAACTATAGTCGAAATGAAGTGTGCATGTTACAAGCATCCCACGCCCGACAGTGGCGAGCAACTAACCGTTCCTCTATTTCCTGCAAAACTTCCATGATCACCGATGTTACAACTGTCAAAGCTAAGTCCTTGTGACTGATGGCTGATTCAAGCACACAATTGTTACTTATGAGAGCTAAGTCAGTTTGTGATAAGGCCAGTCCAGTGTACCCTTTTAGTGCCTAATTTTTTCCTGCCCATTTTTCAAGGTCATTATGAAACATTCATAACATCATCGAATTTTCATGCCAATACCAGCTGTAATTAGACAAGTAATTGCGATGCGAATGTGATAACAACCAAAGATCTGGATGGATCCCCTGCTTCAGAACAAGCACCTCGTGACGAATTTATTGGCAATATATACTCGAAGTGATCGAAAACTGGTTCAGCCCCAGTGCACAATTGGGGACGGCCTCGTATGCATACTCACGCGTGGTGGGTCTTGGTAGGAGATTCCCGCAGTCCACTTCGGGGGGAGGTCTGCACGCCGTTAGGTCTCGATGGAAGAGCTGATCGCCGGGGCACTCGTGCGGGTAAGCAAAGAAATTTACGCATTCGTAGTACATGTAGCAGAAGACATCGTGAGGATAATAACCATTGGCTGTTGGACATTGAAAACCTCCCCCGCCGGTGGTGGAACTGCCGATGGTGGTTGTACTGCTATCAACTGGTGTGGTTTGATCGGTCCCTCCGGCTGCAAGAACGAAAACGCACAAGAAGCTCAATTTTCAATTCGTGTTGAAAAGTAGGATAGAACGCGAATAGATAATTGAATTTGAGGTGCCTTCCGAAAAGACTGGAAACGCTTCTTACGACTAACGTAACTATTCAAAACTGTAAACCCAAGCAGTCACAAGAAAGTTCAATGGTTACAAGTACGTGACCGTTAAAGTTTCTGCTTTCATGAAGGGTACGATAATGAGTGATGAAGCTTTTGCATCGTACAGGGTGTACTGCCTGTGGGCCTGGGAAGTCTGTCTCCACAGTCTACCACATCGGGGAAGTCACACCAAAGGTTGACGTCGGAGAAGAGGTAGTCCAGTTGGCATTCCAGCAGAGTCGCTATGTCGTTGAAGCAATCGTAGTACATCCAGCAGAATTCTGGGTGAGGGTAGGCACCGTCGACTCCGGGAGGACAATCGAACTCCTGAGCATCGACGCTTCCTGTCGAATCGGATACCAGCGATATTCAGACCAGATATAGTGTGAGATTGGGTGCCTCCAGAAAGTCAGACTATAAGGACCAGGTCTTAAATTTAAAAAATAGTCTCATGAGAGTCGTGGCTGCACAATGAAAACCGTAACTCTGCCCCGGCGAACGACTGACTTCTTAAAAACCGTTAGTATGGTTACTTATGTCGTTGAGCCTGTTACGCCGGTACATCAGAGAGCTGAAGATGGCCACCAATAATATCGTAGGAATTTCATGACATCATGGACATTACCAGACAGATTAAGTGATCCCGCTCCCAATTTTTTGCCTCAATATGAAACTACTAAGAAGTTCCGTATGAAGAATCTCCATTTTACGAACTGACAATAGACAAACAGATTATTCCTCTGGAATAGGAGTCTGACCTTTCAAATGTACCCTAGAAACTCACCGAAAGCGTCTAATGTTTCGCGATTTTGAAGCCCACTTTCGAGGAACATTAGTGTCGATCGAGCGATGAAAGCCACAAACCTGCGATTAGAAGCGCCCACAGCAAGACCACTCCTCTTTCCTTCTGCATGTTGTGTAGCTGCGGCACGGACGCTTTCGACGAGGTCGAGGAGACTGAAAGACACGGCATTCAGGATCTCTATTTCATCATTTATCCTTATCGGGCGTACACACTCGAAACTCAGGAAAATGAACCGGAATTCTACGTGTCCTTCACTCTCCACTTGAAAATGTAGAACTGGGAATTGGAATTGGTGTCAATAGTTGACTCCGCAAGGACTCTTGCAGCACAAAAAATCAATAGAAAATGTGTAGTACTTTGGCTTCCACTTGAACTCTCTCTTCTTTTTTTAAGGCATTGCCGTTTATTTTTTTAAATGCCCACTTGGTCGAAGCCCGCTACAACTATACGTTGTAGCGAGCTTACCTGTTACGGAGGAACAGGCGGTAAAGTGATCGGTCATTGGATCGCACAGTGCGAGAACTTTATCGAATCACGCCATTTCCTCGAAGCGATTTGCCAGTGTTACTTTCTTAACGACATGATTCAAGAACTTCACCGATACATGTTAGAAAATCAAACGGATGCTGATGCAAGATTAGATAGGAGAGCACGACTTTTTCCGGTTCGCAAATCTGACCTGCATAATCTCATCTATACCCGCAAACGAGGAAAGGAAACGCACACTTCTGCTGGACGCCCTTCATGTAGCTGCAGCCTCAGAGCCAGCGTCGACGTTTCGAAAAGTCAATCGGAAGACACTCTACATCAGGGATGTGCAACCCGCGGACCTGCTTCTTGGCAATGGATAATGGGATAAGGTTAAATACGTTTCTTTGATGCCCAAGGCATCAAAGTAGTAACAAAGTAGTAACTAGAGTAGTAACAAAGTAGTAACTAGGGAGTAGTAACTCCCTTAGTAACTAGAAATAGACTGAATCCTTTCACTTCCTTCCCCTAGTTATTCCTTACGCGGGCGGTGCTACATATGTCCCTAGGAAGGTTCTCAATGCCAAAGGCTATTTTTGGGTGTTGGAGAAAAGGTAAGGTTTCTATGGCCCACGTGAAGAATCACACATTTTCATGCGGCTCACTGTCGATAAAGATTGCTCTACATTGTATTGAAGAGAAAAACCGGGTCAGTAATTGCATGGAAAGGATACTTCGAATTCCGATCGCTTCCATTCCTCATGGATTTATCTATATGGCATTGAAAAAGCGTGTAATCGAAACTTCTACTCGTCCATCTATCTTGGTATAATTCCGCCCAGACCCGTTATATTTCCCATCTCACATCCCCCGAGTCCCGATCCCAGGTCGGAAATATTCAAATAAGTCTGATGATGAGAGAAGAAATAAGGAGGTTCAAAACTGGAGATCAAGACGTCTGTTAAGTCTTTTTTTTTTTAAACTGACAACAGTTACCAGGGGATAGAGATAAAAACGACTCATCACGGGAGGCCTCGTTCTCCTCGGGGGGGACAAAGTGAAATCCAGGATCTGCATGGAACAGGTCCCGTTCATCGATAACGGGTGGGACCTTGAGGTAAATATTTTTCTCTCCGGGATCTCCTGCGTCGTGAAGAGAAAAAAGCAGGAAAGTCTGGAAGCAATACCTATTGGAAACCTCTCATCACAAAATACAGGGTGTCCCAGAAATGCCTAAGCCTAGGTTTCCAACCTAGCATGTTGTCCTAAGTCTTGTAGGCATTAGGCGTTGGACTATGTAGAAGACGCCTAGGGCAGAGCGGTTCGGATACGAAACCAGTCGATTCTGAGGCATCCAGCTTATGAGAAAACGTACACCGGTAACGAATATCATAGGTCAACTGATGCTGATCCTGGTCCTCTTTTCCGGGAGAAGGCAAACAACTCAGTTGAGTCATTTCTACTTACGCTTTCATGTGTAAGCTCTGCAGCTTCATGTAAATGATCAAAAGCAACAGATAGATGAATTCCATAATGTAACAATAGGAAGTGATATCTTTGGCCGTTCCAGGTCCATTACATGAAAAGATAAATCAAAGAGAAACCTGGAATTCCCTGCTGTGCATACTGAAATTTGACAGGAATAAGGCGTTGTCACATTTGCCTGAAAAAAGTTCTCGATTCCATTTAAAGCTGTATCGCTCCTTACCATGACGGATGTGACTTCTCGCATAGTCACGAAGAGAGCAGACTTTGGGCAGAAAGAAGGTCCTGGACATCATATGGGAAGAGTCATTCTCGGGTGCCGCTTCAGGCCAGCGTTAAAAAAAAAGGATGTCGTGAGCGAGAGAATATGGAAGGTGAAGATCACTTCATTCACGTCTTGAGGAACCGAACGAAATAGACTTCAAAGATAAAAATGTTTCACAATAACACTGGGAATTTTCCGAGTGAATAGAGAACCCTTAAATAGCGCTAATACGTTTTGTAGCACATGAAAGTTACTTCTTTGTACGAGAGCCATTCCTATAACGAGTGATCGAAGACATTGCCAAATTGAAAGTGTAAATTATAAACGATGCTTTTGAGTTTCATTTACTTCCAGTCGAAAATATTTTTTAGCGCCTAAAATTTCGAACGACTGCGATGAGTTACGCAATGAGGTACCTACACTATCAAGAATAGCAATAATACATCTTTGCCATCCGAGAACCGCCATCTGATTTCATTTTAGCATAATATTTTGGGTCTTAATGAGGATACTACATAATGCTACAAGAGTCACATGGAAGACGTCACTCGATTACCAAATATTTCATGGGAGCACGCTAAAAAAAAAAGGTTTATATCACTACCAACTTGAGGTTTACTATCTAATTTTCGTATTCCCCCCCCCTCCCCCCTATAAATTCATGACTCACGAAAGACGAATGAAGATTGAGGCATGTTTCACCCATTTGCATCCCATGCGCGCACTGGTACGAATCGTCCTATGTCCTACCGCCTAGCCTAAGGCCTAGAAAGGCATTGGCTGGTAGACCACATGCGTTGGGCTAAGTCAGCACAATTTTCGGTAAGATAGGCCGAAAAGTTCCTGGGTGCGAATGGGTTAAATACCTGAGAAACCAACCTCAATTTCTGTCATTTGCACCCATAATTACATGATGGATATCTCTTACATAAAGCGAAGCATCGGATACCAGCTCTCTTGAAACAGACAGGAAAAAACAGCGTTTCGCAGTTACGCAATCGGGACCAGGACTAGGCCATTAGATACTAGCGAAGTGACGCCGCATTTCCATCGGGGGTAGGTTTTTCTCTAAAAAATATACAAGATAAAGTACACGATGAAATCTATCTCCAGGTATTGATACTTCTCATTCGTGCTTGTCATACACCCAACCGTTTCCCGGAGGGTGTCGTCTCATTGCTAACGTGGCCCCTTGCACCTGATCCCCCGTGTGCGACTGAAGCGGTGAACACCTTCATAATTCGGTAACGGACAGAATAATCCAACGGTAAAAAAAATTCCCGACGCTCAATACCGCACTTGTCTTCACGCTAAAAATACTCAAGGTTAATATTCTCCTAGACAGCTCATTCGATCGATAAAATGCCCCTCTCGACCGGCTGGTATCTTATCTGGTACAACTCAGCCGATCGCTTTCGAACAGTCCCATTTGCCGGTGTGCCCGAGGCTTTCCTTTGGGGCTTCACCTCGGCGAGCTGGAATGAATCTCGTCACTTCAATTCTCGACCCTTCGCCATGAACATTCGACATCGGCGTCCTCATTTTCGTTCTCTTATGCGACGCAATTTTTTAAAAATCACTTTTGATTGTGGCCGTTGAGGAATAACATGCATGTGAGGAGTCTACCACCGTTTGAGTAAAACTTTGAACTATCTTGGAATGAAAAGTCATTTTCTTACAAGTTCGGATGCTTTCGAAGGAATTTTTTTTAATGCGTGGGGTATAATGTCGGAGTTTTTCCGTCTGGGATCTTACGTATATTGGCACATCGGTGTATTTTTGGCATGTTGTTATAGTTCACTCTCTTCTTAATGGGCTAGTCGTTATTCATTAAATTTTTGAAGAAAAACAAAGTTAGGTAACGGGTTTTGAATGATCCCATAATGCATTAAACTTGTGTCTCGTACCTCGGCACAAAACACTCCAACGGTGTGACTGACTTTGAGTTTCTTTGTTTCGCACCCGAGGTGTGAGCTGAAAAAGTACATTTTAGCGGCACGTGAGACATGAGGACTGTCAAGATGAGCGGGCAAAAATCTCACTGAGAAAAAGGAGAGGTCTCAGTTCCAGAAATCGAATCTAAACGCACTATTTCATCCAGAGCGAAGTATTTGTAGCCGCACGTCTCCTTTTAATGATATGAAGCGTGAATCATTCTAATTGGTCAGAGAACAACAAGTGCAATAAATACCCAAGTGATTCACAAAGTCGGTAGCGATCACCGTGATGGTGACTGCTAAATACACGAGGAACCGGAATGAGCCCCGAGAGAACACACAGACAAGAGGCAATGTCTAATTGCTATCCTCGCACAAACGAAAAATGAGACACGTAGAGGTGCTAAGCAAACATGGAACCCAAGCGAGAGCAAGCAAGTGAAAGGCGTGAGACAAAGGAATTCAGGAGGAGGACCGATCTCCCGCCCAGTTTCCAGTCCCTCAGAAAATGAAACGGTCGAAGTGAAAGCAAAAAAAAAATTATTTTCTCAGGAATCCCTTCGATTCCGAGGTCGGCTATCCTTTGATGAGGAAACGATGTAAGCAAACCTATGGGCCTATTGCGATTTCAACACGGCGTTAACACGGTAAGCGTTTCGTCTACTGATCATGTTATGTCGCACCCCCGAGATGGTGTATCATTCGAGAAATTACTATAATTTTTCCAAGCGTTTCATGATTGTCCAATTCCAGATGAAGCATTTCATCTTGGCGTATCGATCGAAAGGAGAAGCTTCCGAGAAATTAGGATAAGCTCTCTAGTGCTAACTAGTTTAGCACCTGCAAGGGTGGAGCCTTACAAGAAGAAATCTT